GGGCGGGGAAAGTGAAGTGGAAACAATGTGGAACGCACCCGCTCTGAAATCAACAAGCGGCCGGCGCCCGTGTCACCGAGCGCGCCCCGCGTTCGCGCTTAAAGGGACCGTGCACCCGGCGCCAAGAGAAAGAAAGAAATGCCCGAAGGCGGCGCGTCCCGGCCACTTGCCGATCTGTCCTCTGGCGGACGCGCGACGGGTGGCCATCGTCTCGCTCCACCTCCACCCCCCACCCCTTGGGGGGCAGGGCTAGCCCCGCGCCGTCCGGGAGAAAGGAGTCGCGGTCGGCTGTTCAGGGCGGTGTCCTGGGCGAGAATGGAACCGCCCTCCCAACGCCAGCCCGAGAACTCCTGTGGCCCGAGATGGGTTCAACCCCCCCTAAGGAACGTGAGCCCCAGCCTTTGCCTTTCTCTTTGTTTTTTGACGGAATTGCTAGCGTAACGGAGTTCAGCGTGTTTTTAAAGGAGGGTGCCCACACCGCCCCATAGGAACACTCCCATTAGCCGCAAGAATAGGTCCACCTTTGTCCCAGGTAATTGATTGTTCTTGCTTTTGCTTTGAAACAAGCTTTATCACCTACTTCAAATTAAAGAGGGAGGGCACATACCCAGAGAAATGCTGGTAGGCAGATGGAAACCTCACTGAAGACCTCTGACTACGCTGCTGCCTTAGGCTGGGTTGTCTAGAGAAACAAAACCAGTGGCCAAAGCAAATCTAAGAAAAAGCTGGGTATCAAGAAGGCGTCCCAGCCCAGCCCCACGCATGTCCGTGGGTCAGACACAAGGTGACACAGAAAGGGGAAGTGGGATGCAGGGGGGCAGGTACAGGGCCCCGTGGATCCAAGAAACATGGCAAGTTCCCACAGCTCCGGAGGTTGGCTTCCAGGGCCAGGGCCCACATGCATCTGCTCCTGTGGCAGACAGAGTACCGCCAGGAGTAAAAGAAGGGCAAGGGAAAAGAACTTCCTCACGGTGTTTCTTCTAGAAAAAGCCAACCCCCACCCAAGGAGGCCCCCACAAAGGTGACATAAAATCTAACTGCCATGGTCGCACGGAGTCCCCATCCTGAGAGAAATGCTACCCTTAGCAGTGGTATGAACGAGACACATTGTTGAAACTCCAGTAGAAATTGATGGGTTTTGTCCATCAATCCTTCTCCTTTGGTCAATAGCAGATGTCAGTGAGACAGCTGCCTGAGGCACAGCCAGTCGGTAAACCAGAATGACCCTAAGTAACTACCTCCAGCCAACCTCCACGGTACAGTTTTTAGACAAAGAAGTCAGGGCATTATTTCTTATTTCATTTCCAGAAGTTTGAATGGCACACTGCTCTTCCTTTGTTTCTACCTTTCTTTGTTGGTTATAGTCATTGATTAAAAAGTAGGTAGTTCCCCCAAAACTCCTAGAATTTCATGGAAGTTCCCAGCATCTCATGGAAGCTTAAGAAAATCAAACATCTTAAGAAATCAAACAACGCATTGCATTGAGTGAGCCTCCTGCACAAGACTTCTTTCACGTGAGGAAAAGCAAGGATTTCACTTTGAGGACTAAGGTGGGTGTGCCCCAAGCCTTGGTATTTTTGATCACCTCATATGCATATGAAAGTTGGGCATTGAATAAGAAAGACCCCCGAAAAATTGATGCAGTTGTGGTGCTGGTGATGAACCTTGCCAAAAGAGCGAACAGATCTATCTTGGAAGAAGTACAGCCAGGAAGTTCTTTAGAAGCCAGGATGCCATGACTTTTCCCCCACATACTTTGGACATGTCATTAGGAAAGACAAGTCCCTGGAAACGGACATCATGCTTGGTAAAGCAGAAAGGCAGTGAAAATGAGGAAGACCTTGGAAGCGGTGGATTGATGCAATGGTTGCAATGATAAACTCAAACATAGCAATTGGGAGGACAGTGCAGGCCCAGGCAGCATCTCATTCTGTTGTACATAGGATGGCGATGAATCAGCACATACTGGGTTACCTAACAACAAACCCAGGAATGACTCTGGTTGTGCCTTAGCGCTGGGCCTTGAGTGTTTTGAATGAGGGAGTCAATAAAGAATTCTCCGTTGTTCTTTGTCTCTTCCACTGCTGTCAATCAAGTCGGAACTCCTCTAGTCAATGACCCTCAATGACGTATTTCAACCAAGTATCTTTTATAGGATCTTGCATGTCTCTGATAAGATAGTATAAACATCCCTTGGTAAAATGTTGAAGAGAATGGGTTAGAAAGATAGAATGGCTTAGATCAGGCCCTTGAGAGTCTACTAGATAGGGCACCCAGTAAAGGCAAGAGGTGCACGCAGCACAGTTCCTGACCCATTTTACGATTCTGATTCTGATGTGTATGCTCGAACGGATTCATAAACGAATACACCATCCCTCAAGCCCAGAAAGTCCGTATAGAGTAGGTGATTTTTGTTACAATTTAATATTTTGTTAAAAGTAAATATTTCCCAGCTTTCAGTGGTAGTTGTGATGAACGTAGGTATTTTTACGTAAGTTTAATTATATGCTTTTGTTTCCATGTGCTTTTTCGCTTTCTGAGTTTTATATGGTCTAAGAGAAAGAGCCCTTGGTGGCCCAGTGGGTGGGAACTCAGCATTTGTAACGCAACAGCCACTCGGCCAGACGAAAGAACTCTTTCCACATAAGGACTGCCACCAAACCACGCGGACTGCCACTTCATCACGTCTGACTCCTAGTAGCCCTACGTAGGTTTTCTGAGGTGGAAGCAGACAGCCTTACCTCAGTCACCCTCCAAGAAACTAATGGATTCCAACCGCAGACCTTGTCCTTAGCAGCCCTTGTACACAGCAGCGCCCTCAGGGGTCCCCATAAGGATTACAGCCTAGGCAATCCTCGGGGCACTTCTCATCCTGTTGGATAGCCCTGTCGAGTGGTTAGGCGTTGGGCTGCTATCTGAAATGTCAGCAGTTTGAAACCAGCAGCCTCTCCGCAGGAGAGAGACAGGGCTCCTGTCAACAGTTACAGTCTCTGAAATTCACAGAGGCAGTGGGGTCTCTGTGAGTTGGCACACACCCACAATAAGAGCAGGAAAGGAGCCGGGGAAGCAGATGAGAAACCATCCTTGTAAAGAGATATTAAAGAGTTTCTGAGCCTTGTAATAAAAGGCCATATTTCTACACTTCTCAAAAGCTGCGTTAAGGAAGGTCAGTGGACTCGACGAACTCAACAAGCCTTCCTGCGTCACTTGCTCCCGTGGCTTTGAACCAACAGAGAAAATCCCCAGCTTCCACCTGCTGCCCCACTTGAGACAGAACCCTCCGCCCTACCTCCCACCTCTGAATTTTATCAGCTTGTGCAGAGCCTTCCCTTCCTTCTCTGAAGCTGTTTGTTTTTAAACACGGCTCTAGAGTTTCTGCAGCAAACTCTCCACCACGAATAACTGTGCAGAGCAGGTATTAAAAATAGCAAGCACCACGTCCCCGTGATGGATTAACAAAATATAAATTTAAACAAAGATTCTCTGGTTTGATAGAGATTTAAATAGCACCCTGGGCTACAAGATCCAGCCTTCTTGGGCAGTGGGATTTTCAAGAAAAATCTAACTAATGCAAGTGGCCAGAGCCGGTAAAGTCTCTTATGGAAGATGTAGTTAGGTTACAATGTAATACCTCATCATTTGATGTCCCTTTTGACCAATTTTAAAGTTGTTTCACTTTTTAACATTTTCTGTTGTCTTTTCCATTAAGGTTTTTCTATATTTTCTCTAGCCATTGTTGTCGGGTTTCTATTTGTTTGCTTGCTTGCTTCCTGCTTGTATTTTCTATGATTTTCTGTATATGGAATCCAGGATGGATAGAGCCGTAAGAGACAGTAACTAGATTGATCATTGCCTATGGGCATGGCAAGGGAGGAAAGGGAAAAAGAGGAGCTAACAAGGAGTACACTAAGAAAACATTCTGAAATTGATAGTGAGGATGATAGCACAACTCTGCTTAATGTGATTGAACAATTAAATTGTATGATAAGTAACATATATGCCAATAACCAATTTTTTTCTAAAGTGGCCCGGGTTTCTTAGGATTTGAAAGTGTAAGCAGGCAAAAGAGAAGCATACAGACCTCCTGGGAGGTTGTAAAAATTACTGAAAGGAGAAGGGGCTTGGGAGATAAACCCCACTCGCCAGCCTGCTTTTGCAGTAGAAGAACTAGCACACAGAAAAGAAACTTGTCTAAGCGGTAGAGAAACGTCCACTTCTATTTTTCATCTGAGCATAGAATTTAGAACTTACTGTGTTTCCAGAGCTGTGACTTGAAGCTTAGAGGGGAAGTAGAAAGCACTCTTTTCCCGTGGATAAGATTTTAAATGATAGTAACTTAATAGGAAGATAATAATGACAATCACATTCACAGTTGGCATAGTTAACTCCCCGCTGTCTTGGCTTGTCCTTTAGCTGGGAAATCGGCAACACAGTCTCATCCATTTCACACCACCAGAAGAAGAAGCCTAGAAAATGCCATCACATTTGGCCAGAATCATGAGAAAACAAAAAGAAGAGAGTGGCCCTCGGGCAAAATGCTCACAATGCACATGAAGGTTAGAGCTCAGTATAACCAGGAATTGCTGACATTTGAAATGACCT